AAAGTACTCCCTATAGCTTTCCATTTTCTGGTTCCAGTCCCTTCCTGAGGCCTCCGTTCATTCCTTGAAACACTTCATTATCCTTGTAATAAATTCCCATTTTGTGCCTCAAAAAATAATAAGATATGTGTGTGTGTGTGTGTGTGTATCCTATTAGTTCTGTCCCTGTAGAGAACCCTGAAGATTGGCTTCTGTAATGGTTAATACTGATTGTCAGCTCGCTTGGATTGAAGGATGCAAAGTATTGATGCTAGGTGTGCCTGTGAGCGTGTTGCCAAAGAAGATTAACATTTGGATCAGTGGGTTGGGAAAGGCAGACCCAACATTAATCTGCATGGGCACCATCTCATCAGCTGCCAGCTTGGCTAGAATATAAAGCAGACAGAAAAACGTGAAAAGGCTAGGCTGTCTTAGCCTCCCAGCCTACATCTTTCTCCCGTGCTGGATGCTTCCTGCCCTCAGACATCGGACTCCAAGTTCTCAAACATCAGACTCCAAGTTCTTCAGCTTTGGGACTCAGAGTGGCTTCCTTGCTCCTCAGCTTGCAGACGGCCTATTGTGGGACCTTGTGATCGTGTGAGTTAATACTACTTAATAAACTCCCATATGTGTATATATACGTACACATATATACATAGTAGATATACATACATTAATTATAATAATTATAAATAAGTATACATATACGTATATGGGAGTTTATTAAGTAGTGTTAACTCACACGATGACATGGTCCCACAATAATAAGATATATACATAAGTCAGGAAACAACAGGTGCTGGAGAGGATGTGGAAAAACAGGAACACTTTTACACTGTTTGTAGGATTGTAAACCAGTTCAACCATTGTGGAAGACAGTGTGGCGATTCCTCAAGGATCTAGAGCTAGAAATACCATTTGACCCAGTCATCCCATTACTGGATATATACCCAAAGGATTATAAATCATGCTGCTATAAAGACACATGCACATGTAAGTTTATTGCAGCACTATTCACAATAGCAAAGACTTGGAACCAACCCAAATGTCGATCAATGATAGACTGGATTAAGAATATGGGGCACATATATACCATGGAATACTATGCAGCCATAAAAAATGATGAGTTCATGTCCTTTG